TTCGCTCGTCGTTCTAGTGGGCTGGAAATGGGAACAGGGTCCTTCCTCATCCGGTCGAGATGGGAAAGGTTGGTTTTCTACAGACAGGGGCCGGGGCGGGGCAGCAGCCGAGAGTCGAGAGTCGAGCATCTCAGCTGTTGCGAGAAGCTCAAGGACATGGCATGATGAGAAGTTTTGCAGCTCAACTCTCTTTTCTGTCAGCCACGAGATGGGCGACGACGACGACGCGGCTGTGGCCGAGACTCTGGAGTCGTCATCCAAGTTGAGACGATTGCGTGTGCGACTTCGGGAGGATCGAGTTTCCGTCGACACGGTTTGGGCTCATGAATTTTTTGTAATTCTCCCTCAGAGCAGCCAAGGGCTGAGAGAACAGCAGACAGCACCCATGTCGGGAGGCTATTTGTTGGACCCAGTGCTAGGGCCGCCCAGTTGGGGTCATAGGGCGGGCAGCACATCAGCGAGCAAAATATCGGGTGTCGTTGGGAATGGAGAGAGGGACCACTCTCGCTGTGGGCGCACACACGGAGAGAACCGCTTCAAGTGCGGCAATGGGCCAAGATGATGGAACGTTTGTGTAGGGTTCTCTGCATGTCACCACACCAACAGGTGCAGGACGGCCAGGGGCGACAAAGATGAACATGTCCACATGACGATGTCGCTCTCCAGGTTTCCAGGTCCCGGTCGGGCTCTGACCGAATCAACGCCGGGCAGAAAAGAAACAAGAGGTACTCATTTTCAGCCCTCGGGGGGCTAGTCGGATGCAGGCCGAGGCGAGGGGGCGAGCACCGAATGCAATGGATTGTTACTCTGGGCAGTGCTCCCTCGTCGACCTTTGAGAGAGAGCGATAGCTCCCGCCTACTACCTATTTTCATGCTATAGGCCCCGCAACTCTGTTGTGTCTTCACCATTACCTAAGGCAAGGCCAAGGAGAAGCGGTGGTCGACCGAACAAGGTCCAATGGAGATGACCTTAGTCACAGCTTGACGAGAGAGGCCCATCCGAGAGATGGGGCCACGGAGAGGTTTACACCCGCGCGATTCAAAGTTGAAGCTTACAGCGAGGTATGGGGATTGTCATCTTGGACATTTGGAGTCTAATGCCCCTTAATTCTGAATGTCATTCGTCGATATTGCCGAGCAGCAGCAGCAGTTGGGACGGACGAAAAAAGCAGCGGATGAGAGCTGCCGCCCGGGTTCCGACCGTCTGACGACGGGACTCTGCCAAATATTGCCTTTTCGCTGAAGGATGCCACGGCTGCTGCCAGAGAACGAACGTACGCACGCATGCAGCTGACGCTGGTGTGTTTTAGGACTGGACGGTGAGCGGTGCTCTGTCATCCGCTGAATGGACGGGTTGCACGAGAAGGAGAGCACGGGCATGTTTGCATGAGCCAGGCGCAGGGGCGGATAGACAAGAGACAGAAAGATGGGATGGGATGGCAACGACACCCATGAACCATGACTGGCTCGGCATGGCACACAAAGTCACCGGCACGGACAGAGGCACAGACGAGCAGAGACGCAGAGTCGCTGACTGGTGATTGCTTCGCCTCGATTGTGTTGTGACTAGCTCCCTGCCGGCAGCGTGGCATTGGACTGGCTGGATCAGGACAAGATTGACCGTTGGCCCCTATTCTCCGAGTCGGGGGGAGGGGGCTTGTCTCTTTCAGCTCCGGCGCAAACGGGCAGGAAACGAACATCGAGAATAGAAGCTATACGGAGCGACATGAAGAGCGTGGCATGGCATGGCATCAGCGGCGCGATGCGGTGATGCGATCATGGGTCGGTAGCGGGGGAGGGAAGGGAAGAAAGAGTAACGAAACAGCCGCGAACTACAGGCATCTCTCGGTACCGACTCCATAGGGTAGGTAGCCCACGGGCTCCCAGGGCAGAGAGGTAACAGAGGCAACGGTGCCCTGTGGACGGACAAACACCAACCAGCCACCTCGCGCAAGGCTAGCTGTGAAGGGCATAGCAGAGGAACGCACTAGAAAGTCGCCGGGTGGTGCGGACTCTCCTGGCTGTTGAGCGTGTTTCTGTCGTCAAAGTTTGGAACAAGCAGCGCGAGCAGAAACGTGAGGCGCAGCACTCTCGTCGAAAGACTCCCAGTGGTTTGATGGAGGGGAGTGAGGAGGAAGAAAGGCGAAAGAGGCGTGCCAGGCACAGGCCATGGGAGGCCATTCCGACATGTCACCAGGCCATACATGTACTAGCCCCATCACGCGTGGGGAGAAGTCTCTCGAGGGTGAGGTGAGGCACCCAAAGAGGTCACCCGCTTTCTGCACTAGCAGTCAGTCCTCGAATGTGAGTCGGTCAACGATTGTCTCCGCTGGCAAGTGGCTCTTCGCCCCGGCCCCCCGGTCTCTCCCTCTCTCTGCGTTAGCCTCTGCTAAGCAGTTTTTTTCTTCTCTCTGGCGGCCGTCTTTGGTTGGGGCCCAAGAAGCCGGCTCACCCACGGGAGGAGGGGCCAGGTTGAAACCTATTTTTAATTCTGCCTCTTTTTAGGTAGAGTTGGGTTGGGCGGGCGGATGAACGGGGAATGGACTGGCAGCAGAATTGTGCCGCTATTCCAGATGAGATGTGCAGACACCATCTTTTGCTGACTGAATGACAGAGACGCCGAGCAGAAGATTGAGAAACGACGTCAAACAGCAGCACATCACGGGCAGTCTCTCGGTACGGCCTTGTCTGATGTTTGATGCTCGACGTCGATGTCCTCTTGGTCGATACGTATCTTTGCCTCCCTTGTTGTTTTTCTATCCCGTCCCATCCGTCCGCCAGTCGCCGTCTTCCCCATTCTTACCAATACCTTATTATCCCCAATCCTCATGCATTAAAGTACAGACACACACACTGCATGCACACACGCACACTACACACCACCACACAAACTATATACACACACACACACACACAGGTACACACACCTCTTCACGTTACCCTGTGTAAGTCTTTCTCTGGCTTCCCATGTTCAAGACCCCTGCTCATATCACACACAGTCCCCCGGCACCATTCAAGGTGTCCCAACTCATCCCATCCCATCAGCAGCATCACGATTCCTGGTGCTCCTCCTTCAGAAAGCAGAAGAAGCTCCGCGCGATTCCCACCGACCACACCAGACCCGTCGGTACAGGCCTCACCCCAGCCAGGCCAGTGTGTCATATCCCGCGCAAAGAACCCTGTCTGAAGAGTAGCGGTCCTGGCAGAGTTGAATCTGTCACTGTTGCTTTGCTGCGGCACTCGGCCTCTGTCACGCTTCGCTTTGCAGCAGAAGCGAAGCACTGAGGAACTGGCCGTTCTCAAAAGCCATCCCCGTTAGCACCCGGTACGTACGGAGGAAACCTAGCAACGATCCCAGCACGGGCGGCCCCTCCCCTCTCCTCCACAGCCCACCCACCACTACACTACCACCACTGCAGAAGCCGAAAGTCACCATGGTAGGTTCTGCATGTTCCAGAGACAGAGAGCGAAGGCACCGGAGGCACAGGACGAAGACGAAGACGAGGACGAGGACAGGCAACAAGACAAACAAGCATGGCATGCTCTGCGGAAGCATAGGCTACTGATCCTAGAGACATACGCACACACACCTGCACCTGCACCGCTTGTAATGCTGGCTGGTGGCTGTCTGGCGGATGCACAGTCTACGCTCTCGTGGCCGTCTCTCTCTCTCCCCCCCATACATCCTCCTTGCTTTTCCTTCCTGGCTCCATGGAGATGTACATTGGACACCAGCAAGCACCACGCCCCCCTGCCTGTCCACACCTTTACCACCCGCCTGCCCCCGACTTTCCCACCCGGCGGCTCTGTCTTACCCGATTAGGGCGAACCGGGTGTGGACAGTGGCACCTGCTCGACTGGAGGACTGGAGGTGCAGGTGCAGCAGGTGCAGCTGGGTGTGTGTCCCTGCCGCCCTTCCCTACCCTTCCCTCTGCCTGAGTCTGAGCCTGTCCAGTCAGTGCCTCGTCTGCCTGTGCCTGTGCCATTTCCACGGCCGTGCTGTGTGGTGCCAAAGTCTCCCCCAGTCCACACGTCCCCATCCCTCCTCCTGCATCTGCTGCGGCCTCTTCTTGGAACATGGAATTATTTAACTGATTCGGTCCCCCAGCCCATCTACTACCGCCTTTTTGTCTCCCCCTCAGCCTACACCACAACATCTATAAAAAATCAGCCTCGTTGAGCTGCTCGTGCCGCCCTCAACCACATTCGCTTTTTCCTAACTCTCACCTTTAGGAAGTCCTCGTTGACTCCTGTCATTCGCTTTCGCGCTTTTTGTTTTTCTTCCATTTTCCAACAATCTCATCCATCCTCCAAATCTCAAACCCCTCCCCCCTCCTCCTCCAACAACATCAACAAACCACCCTTGGCCTTTTCCACCAGATACTCGAGAGAGAAAAGGACACTAAAACCCTCCAAGAACCAACACGCCCCCAGCTTCGAAGCTACATCATCAACCCTGGTCATTTCAGCCTCATCCCTCGGGAACGCTAGCCAAACCGCCCACCTCCCGGCTTACAACCACATCCAGTCAATGCTTCGCAACTAAACCACTGGTCTTTTGATCAACCACACTCGCTTTACGGAAAAAAGAGGATTCAGAGACGGAACTGGGAAATCGCACAAAAACCCGCGCCACTACGATCGCTACTAGTATCAGGAACTGGGAAAAAGAGACCGAAGAATCCGCTTGAAGAAAAGGACCCACGACCAGAAAGAGAGAGGAATCCGCCAAGAGTCGATATCGAGTACTCGGGCGTTCTTTGCAAACTTCTGCCACTCAACATCTGACGCTCCTGTCAGTTGCTTTACACATCCGGCTTTCCGTCGGGTTGTGCCTCACTTCATTGCGGCATAATTCTGTCTGGGCAGCTTCGCTCCCCGGTAACGACACTACACTCGCTTCCACACGGTTCAAGCCGTGTGCCTTCTTGTTGGTTACCTCTGACTCCTACGGCTTGAGTCTGGCTGACGTCTCAGTTCTTTCGTTCAACTCGCTCACAATGGCCGGTCCCGGAGGTGGTCCTCCTCGCCGCAGTCACACCAAGTCCCGCAAGGGCTGTGATACTTGCAAGCGCCGCCACATCAGATGTGACGAGAACTTTCCTCAATGGTATGCCTGCCGGAAACTTGTCCCGTACGATACTAACGTGAACCAGCCGCAACTGCACCAAGCACAAGATCCGCTGCCCCTACAACGACATGCCCATCCCCGAGGACAGGTCGACGACCCCCGACAAGCCCGATCTCATGTGGACCCCCGAGATCGAGGCCGCCATCGCACAGTGGCAGCGCACCGGCATCTTCCCCTTCCCCAACCTGGGCATCTACCCTGAGCCGAATCCTCAGCGCTACTCGGTCGAGGATCTCAGGTTGATCTACCACGTCGCAAAGATTTGTGATGAGTTGGCCGTCTTTGACTACAATGGCTTCACCATCTGGACCCGCCAGATGCCGACGTGAGTTCCTGACAGATGCACCTATCCGTTAGCTTTGCTAATTTTAAACAGCATCATCAAAATCGGAGTCACTCACAGCTATGTCATGCATGCTCTCCTGGGTTTCGCGGCCATGCACATTGCCTTCCTCACCGACTGTCCCCTGGTCGGCAACATGGGTACCGAGCACCGCGGCCTCGCCATGAACGGCCTGCAGGAGGCCATCAGCACCTTCGGCCACGAAACGTCGGACGCCGTCTTGGCCGCCTCGCTGGTTCTCTCGTGGCAAGCTACGGATTGGTAGGCAATACTATGCACCTAGCCGCCCGCAGCGCGCTAACACACCTTAACAGGAAAAGCTGGACCCAGCTCATGCAAGGAACCTCATCGGTAAGCCATCCACACAACAGCGCGAGGCTTCAAGATGCTAACCCGTCACAGGTCATCGAGGCCATGGACCCCTGGAAGCACACCTCCCAGTTTGGCGACTTCATTGCCGAAAGCTGCACCTTCCCAACCGCGCCCGGCTCGCCCAGCCCGGATCACAAGCCGAGCCAGCCCCGCAAGGAGGACACCGAGGCCTTCACCAAGACGCTGCAGCAGCTGCAAAAGTTGGAGATTCACCTGAAGCACAACAAGGAGGAGAGCCACGTCAAGATGATCCAGCAGTTGGTCAGCTTCGTCAAGGGCGCCCGCAAGTTCAACACCGGCCTGTCCATTTGCCAGCAGTTTGAGCGCCTCAGCCCCCTGCGCAACTGGCTTTTCTGGCTGCCTGTGATGCTGCTCAAGCAAACGGGCGGATCGCCAACGGCACTGGTCGTCATTGCTCACTTCTACACCGTGGCCCTCGTGACGGAGCGTCTGTTCCCCGACATTGGCGCCGCCTACTTTGGCAGCCTGTCCATCGGCCCCGTCGAGGAGATTGCCCGCCGCCTCCTGTCCATCAACATCTCTGGCACCGTAGACGGCGACCTCCAGACCCCCCTCACGCTCATGGAGTTCCCCATCGACACTGTCAACGAGTTCCGCCACAGGATGGGCTGGACGCAGCCTGCGCGCACACCCTCGTTCCCTCAGTTCAACCCTCCCAACTTCTACCTGAACGAGCCCGTGCCCCTGCCGCCCGTCACCGATTCGTACATGCCGTATGGCACCCAGGCCTTCAGCTACAGCACCGAGTCCCTGATGATGCCCGAGACTGCCGCCGCGCCTCCCAACAACATGTCGCCGCTGGTGTTATCATCCCCCTTTGTGCACTCGCAGTACCTCAACATCCCCAGCCCCAACTACGGCGGCTACAGCCCGTCCTCCTCGACCTTTGAGGGCTCCATCGTGTACAGCGACAACGAGGACTACGGCTATGAGCAGCGTTTCGACATGAGCGGTATGCCCGCGGTCAACAACCAACTTGGCGTCGGGTTCGTCTCTCTCACCCAGCCCTTGTGGACTTAAACAGGCCCTGCCCTCTCTCCATGGCACCCTCGATAACCACTGCGGCACAACAACTCGCATGAAAGAACTCCGGATTGACCGCCGCTCAGGATGCCAACCACACCGACATACCCGCCGCCCGAGGACCAGCACCTCCTGGCATCGTCTTCGCACACGGTGCCCCCCTCGCCCTTCCTCAACCCGGAACAATTCGGCATGCTCCCGCTCCCCGAGTCACCCATCCCTCCCAACCTGCCTCTGCGCCACCGACACACCCCGTCGTCCTCGGTCACGGAGTCGCCGCGGTCCGTAAGCGCACCCTTCCCGCCACGCAACCAATGGCTGGGATCGACGCCGACTGTCCACATCAAGTCCGAGAAGGGCAAGGAGCGAGAGCTATAGCTCCGCTCCCCCCTCCATCTCGACCAGTTCTTTTTCAACACCATCGCTTGGGACCCTTGATTTTGAAACACCTTTAATTCCTGCTTCTGCATCGACACAGACGCCAATGTACACCACGCTCCTTGAAGACATCAAAAGCCCGGCAACTGCGAGCCCGAGCTAGCCTCGACTCGCGCCCCACGACATTCCTTTTTATCAACCACAGACGATCAATCACATTAATATACGACTACACTCCTTAATCCAAGATACCCCCCTCGACACACAACACATACCGACAACCTTAGACGTTCCTTACCGGCATCGGATGATACCCCACTGCATCACACTCCTTATCATGACGTTACGATCCAAAAAGCATTCCGGATTATAGAAGGGAAGAGACGGAAGAAAAAGACACTCCTTACGGATTACATTGGCCGCAATCCAAACTGCATAGCGACTGTTTCACGTGTTCGACGCACAACACAACACAATCTACCTCGGCGTTTTACGGGAACCAAACAAGGGAATTCCGTGGTCACCGCACCACAAACTGCATTAGGCGGCGTTGGGTTTGAAATGATTTTTATAGCACTGTTATTTGTTTGTTACGAGGTAGGCTTGCCTCGCAGGACCCGTGCGCGCGCTGAAAGCAAAGTGTTTGGAATTAATGAATTTTGAGAGAGGAGCAAGCAAAGGGATCAGCAACTGTGCGGATGGGAGTTGGATTGTAATGAGTTACATAGCTCTATGCGCGCCCCATCGAGCGGGCTGTGTGGGTGGAAAGAATATACTCAATTGACGACGCGCAAAAACAAAACGTTACATTTTGATTCGCCTGTGACCTGTGTGAATGTTGAATTGTTGGGGAAGCCCCCATTGCTTTTGCCGGCCAATTTTCGACGTGACGATGTCCCTGCTAGATCTCAGCTGGTGAGGGTCAGTCGTTTCTTTTTCCTAATCAGATCTACCGACACTGTCACCATAGTGTGGCGTATCTTGGATGCGGCTAAGCGAAGCCAAGTCTGGATTGCCACGTTGAGGGATCGACGGCAGGGTTTTGCCGTGGACGAGCTTGCTTTTTGGCGTCTCGCGATATTGGTTGAGGTGGTTTTGCATATGACCTGCTGGTGAGGCGGGGGAGCTGAGGGTTGGTGGGGGGTTGGTTGGTGCGGACGGGATGCGGGAAGGGGGACGCGGGTTGAATTTTTGTGGCGAGGCGAGGCGGTTGGTGTGTCTTGGATATCGCGTGGTTGGCGAAGTTTGTATTTGTGTTTGTTTGTCTTGGCTTTGGGGCTGGTAGGTTGATTCGAGGCTTTGCGGGTATTGGAGGTAAGGCCTTTCGCGTGTTTTCATCTTTGCTCTTGGCTCGCGAGGCGACATTTTTGGATGTTCTTATACCAAGCGGCAACGAACAGCTTGGAGTATTGTCTGAAGCCTCATTGAAATCGTGGATCGAGTTTGTTGCTATTATAAAAGTAAGCGTTCACATGCTTTTAGAGTCGACTTGCGTTCAGGGATCTCGTGTGTCTCATACACAGCCTGCCTGTGTGGTGTTTCCAATCTTGCCTCTTCTGTCCGCCCCAAATTCAGAAGTCTTGCGCTTTGTTGATGGTCTCGGTTTGAAGCCCGGTGTATAGACTGGGCAATAAGTCAGAAGAAGTGCTAGAAGATGACTGAAGTGGCCCAGGAGAGGCAACTGAGACGTTACGCTATGCCTATGGTTGTGTCTTGAGCAGACTCGGGATATTGATGGATCTGACGAGTGATGTCGAGAGAGCTTTGAATCTGTCCGCGCTGCCGTCTGATCGCTGTCAAGGCTGCTTCAAAGAATCTGATGCCACTCGGTAGCAACATAATAGTTGCTGGATGAAGAACCTATAAGCCCGCTCGTGCCTGTGAGATCAGAGGCTCTGTTCCACAACTCGACAACTGATCACCGTCTGAGTCAATTGACGGTTCATATAAATCCCAGCCAATGTTACGCTCTGGCTTATGAATGAAGCTGAAGACGGCACTGTACTTTGCCAGAACCTCAGGCGGTCTGTTGCGTATACGATGCTACCAATCAAGCGAAAATGCGGGAGAACAGTGACTGTGTCTCTAACCAACTCGGCTGAATGATAATCGTGAGCGCTCCTAAATTGTGCCAATGGACTTAAGTCGGCTGGCCCCAGTAGTTTCAAGACGTCACAAGCCTCACAGAATTGTTGTTTCTGTGCAAAACTCTATTGTATCCATCCTACGATACTCTAAATAGTCAAGAGCATCAATGAAGGTCTACGGCAACGTTCTAGGAGCTTGGTAAGACAGGACAGATATTGTTGATCATGTCGTCCATCTTTCTTTGGACATTCGTTGAAAATAATCTCAGGCCAAGATACCGCGAGTCCAGCTCACATAACGTCTGATCAGACACTGCCGGTGGCGTGTTTGACATTGCGTCGATGACCGCAACCCAAAGTTAGAAACTCGCTTGGAAGACTACGTTACTGTCTGATGGTGCTTTCATGAGCTGCACCCAAAGGCTCCTGGCTATTTAAGCTGTCTATTTCTGGGCTTTGCCAGAGCCCGTCAGAGTCTCAGAACATATCTGTTATTTAAACGCAACGTTGAGCAGCATATCCCATGTCTGTACAACGACAAGTCTTCTGGTAGCAGTCCGTCAGTACATCTCCCACCTACATCTCCCGCAGAGGTGCCTGACCATGCGCGGTCCCCAACCTGCACAGGGTAATGATATTCGTGCAATTACGTAGAATTTCCGGGGCATCTTAGAAGCTACATCTGGGTATCATGTGTCATACTCTCGTGATAGCACTGGAAGAAAGACCCCGAATGACGCATGCCCTCGGTACATCCTTACATCCCCAGAAGCTCATAGATCACATTGTTAACGACTCATATTCCGATACCTCCTAGGTAGACGACATGGAGGATTACGTGATTTTCTGAACTAAGTAGTGAGAGTGGACATGTTGATGCGCTATTTATGGCGATGGCGACGGACCTCTCATCTCGCAAATAGTAGCACCCGCGGCTCAAGGCACGGGTATTTAAATAGGACCTTAGACGGCACACTCCAGGTCTTCACAATGGCAACAAATGTAGCCGAATCCTTCTGTGATGATCCTGTAAGGCCCGAAATACAAGAGAAATGGTGCAGGTTGCAACCCTTGTTGTCCTCATACCTCACCTACGATTTCACTGCCGAGTATTCCGTGTCATACTCTTCCGACGATACTGGAAGAAAACAGCCGAGATGCGCATTATCTCAGCCCCTGTGATATTTCCAAGTTCGTCAGTACGTTTCACACTCAGTGAAATATTCCTCACTTACTTGAACTCTCAAAAATGACCCCTTTGCTCCCCTTGGGATGCACTGCCTGTTCGCTTAATGCATCGCAGTACAACTCCTTGATATATCAACCGGCAATTCAAAGCTCTATTCACAAAAACAGCACAATCAATGGTTATTTAATCGGTATATTGGGCTGCCACGCCTTGTCTCTATGCCGGCAATTGCTAAGCTGGAGAAGCTGGATGGATTGCAACTATACGATGCAACGCTCTCCCCGAGTTGGAAGCAATCACACAGTAGCTGAATTCGCCTGAGATATGGATCTGTGACTCTGAAATGCATGCCGTATACCCTCTTGATGACGCTGGAAGACAACGGTCGAGGGTCACGTTCTCTCCGAACTCCATTTGGACCTCGTCTTGTTTGGCTGATGACGAAATCAAGGGTGGCGTCACCTCGAGCAGAACTTTAGGCTTAACATGCAATTTTGGCTGCCATAGCGATTGGTGTTTTATAGCTCGTTCGCACTAGTGACAGCGGCTCAAGGCATGGCCTCACCACATCGACTACTGTAATAGACTGAGCTTGAGGGACCTGGCTGATCACACCATCCCTGGAGTGTCTTCTTGAGGGTGATTTTGTTGGCAATTCTTCTGCACAGGCCATGGCGACAATCCAAATTGTCGACATTTTGGTGTCAAATCGAGGGACGATCTCCTACTGGTGCAAGCAAGGCCGTATGTTAGACTGGTGCGAGAGAAGCGGTACGTCCCAAACCAAGGACAATCTCATCTGCCATCTCTGTCAAGAACTTATTCCATCCATGTAACTGATTTACAAGTTCGGCAGTTCTTCACCTTGGAACAACTGAATGTTCCAGCTTCTCAGCCGACACAGGTGTATGTAAAGCACGATTGTGAATGTTTTGCGTGTTTCCCATTTCGTCTTGTCGCCCTACAGCATCTCTCGTGCTTCTTTTATCAGCAGCCCTGCTCTGGTAACGCCGCGATAGTATATAAGCCCGGCCCCGTCCATGAGAAGCAAGAGAAAGAAGACAGGCGAAGGATTGCAGATGTTTGGCTGCGGTTTCCAAGACTACGAGCTCCAAGGCTCGGCGACAGGATCACAAAGGCGAGAGGCTCCTTGGCTGACGCTCACAATACCGTCCGGGTATCACGGCGAATACGCCAGGCATGATGAGCTTTGCCAATGCCGGTAGAGCACGTTTGCCAGGAGCCTCTGTAAAAGCCCAAGTCAACGTCTAGAATCTTCAGCTTGCACAGCAACGCTTGAGCGTCCATCGTCCACTCCGTATATCATACTCGTCATACCACCTGAACCTCCAGCATTAGCCAACACCCTCAAACCTCACCGCCGCAGCATTATGAAGGCAGCCTAACTCCGTTCCCATTCCGGCCCCGTGGGGCGGCGTTCCCTATGCTAAGCTATCTAAACCTATCTACCTATCTACGAAAAGAAACACCAGTTTTTTGCATCATGATAGCCATGCCGGCCGTGTTCGAAACGTCTGTTCATCCGCTGCTTCAATCCCCAAGGCGAGCATCCCCACCAATTACTCCCAGAGACCCGCTCCTCTCTCTCAGTGGGCCCCTCCCTCGTCTGCCGAACCCTCACAACCCATGATGCTGGCTCCGCCTGTATGCTGGCGTTTCCGTGGACCCCAAATCCTCCAATCACTCAAAAAACAACCACCTTTCATGTTTCACGTCGACAGAGTCTCTCTTTCGTCATGTTGTGCGATATCTCTTGCTGCCCAATTACAAGCCTTTTTTGCTCCCTTGATATGTTCAGCCTCTTCAAACGGGTGCGTCGTCATCACTTCATAAGACGCCAGTGGTATTTTCCTCCCCAAGTCATATCATTGGAAACTCGCTCATAATGGGACCTTTGTGTTGTTATTTCTTCCGTCATGTAGAATAGTACTGGCGGAGTGCCTGCTGATCCTGCGGTTGCATCTGGTTCACAAAGTCGTTGAACTGGGGAATCAGCTGCCGGTAGATGTTGATAACCTGTTCATGTTAGCGTTGTTTATGCGGGAGAGACGGCACCGAGCTCACCTTTTGGAAGTGTTCATGCAACTCATGCTTGATGGGGTTCTTCAGGTTGATGTCTCTGTACCGCGCAATGGCGACAAAGAACTGGGGAAGGGCCTTTTCGATGGACTGCGGGTTCTGGCCGACAACCATGGTGAAGCCCTTGAAGGCGGTGGCCTTCTCCTCGAGGAACTCGACGTGCTCCATGGCCGTGAGGAAGTCCTCGGCAAACGTGGGCAGCATGGGGCCCATGATCTCGTAGTTGTGCAGACCAAGACGGCCGAGGGCGATAGCCGCGTTCTCGGAGACTGCCGCCTGAACCCCGGGGTTGGAGATGATTTCTACGAATCGCTGGAGGAGCTCGGGAACGAAGGGCGAAATGTTCTTGCTGTTTGTCATGACAATCTCACCGGCGGACCAGCACGCATTGTTGACCACGCTGAAGCCGCTATCAATCTCCTCGTCGAGGATGTTATCCAGGTCGAGCTGCTTAAGAAGGATAGGGAATATGGAGGGAAGGTAGTTTTCGAGCTGAGGGAACACGTATCTCGCGCAGTCGCCGAGCAGGGCATACGCTGACTGCCGGACGTCGTCCTGGGGGTCCTCGAGGCAGAAGCTGAGGAGCTCGAAGAAGGTCTTTTCGTTGGATCGCACCAGTTCCTGCTTCTTCTCCTCGTCCAAGGACTGGATGACGGCACTCAGGAGGTCCAGACTCGTGACGAGGAAATCCTTGTCGGGGGAGTCGAGAGAGGGGTTGTTGGTCGCGTTCAGGCTCTGCTCCAGGTTGACGTGGATGATGTTGACACATCTCGTGAAGATGGGCTGCGCGTACGGGGTGAAGGCAGACCCGAGCGCCATGGCAACGTACGACAGACACTCGAGCAGGGGGAACAGCTCTCGGGAATCGTCGCTGACCTTCTGGTAGCGGTCGATGAGCGCGGGCATCAGCAGGTTCATCGCGTCGGGCTGGGCGATGACGGGGCCAATGTTCTCCGCCAGGGTCTGCACGCAGTCGTACAGGATGTACATGTTCCTGTCCTTGTACCTGGCGAAGCACTGCACGAACTGGCGCAGGATTGGTATGCAGTAAGGCTCGAGGACCTTGCCCGATTTCTCCTCAAGGTTGGCAAAGGCACTAGCCGCGGCCTCCTGAACCTTCTTGTTCTTGTCGAGCATCTTACGCAGGATGCCGTCCATGAGCGGCTCAAAGTAGGTCGACTTTTGTTGGGGGTCCTGCAGGTTGGCGGCCCACTGGGAGTAGCGGCCGAGCGTCCAGCAGGTGATTTGCCTGACAATGGGCTCGTTGTCCTCGAGGAGGGACAGGAGGTAGGGGACGAGCTCGGGAAGGTGAGGGGTAACAGCGTTAATGGTACCCTCGGCGACGGCTCCGAGAGCGAGCACGGCAGCCTCGCGGTACTGCCACTCTTCGTGCTTGAGGTTGCTTGTGAGATACGGCAGGATGGCGGTGAAGACGGGGTCGGAGAAGTCGCGCGCAAAGACGTCGAGGGCCGCGGCGGAGCACTTGCGGATGGTCCAGCGCTCGTCAGGGTTCTCATCGCCGTCGTCGAGGTCATCAATCTCGCCCTCCTCGAGGTCGTCGTCCATGCTCGAGAGCTTCTCGTAGTTGCCGTTCTGGTTGGGGTCCGCTTGGCCGTCGCCTCCGTTGACGGCGCGCGATGCCTGCTTCTTGGCGAACTTGGGCTTGATGTCCTCCGTGCGGTCCTCCTCGTCCTCGTCGTCCGACGCACCACCGAGAAGGGCGATATCCTCGCCGCTGTACACCATGCACTCCAGCAGCACGGGGATGATCTTGTCCAGGTAGGGGGTCAGAGCGCGCCACAGGTCGTCGTGCTCGCCAACGGCCAGCCAGAACTCGGCAGCCTCGCAGGCCAGGTCCTCGTCGTCGCTCTTTTGCTGTGTGATGATGTAGTCGACGAGGCCGGCAATGTGCGGCTGCAGCTTGTCGGGACGGGTCTCGACGAGCTGGACAAAGGCGTGGCACACCTGGCGGCGCACGTCGGGGTTCTGGTCGGAGGCCAGCACAAACAGGTGGGACAGCAGGCTGTCGATGTTGTTGAGCATGGCCTGGGACTTGCGCGGGGTGAAGACGTTGATGGCGGTCAGCGCCTGGGCGCGGACCTTGGGCAGTGGGTTCTTGGTAGCCTCGATGAACTTGGGGAGCAGGTAGTTGAGGGGCCGCTGTCCGTTGTGCTCACGCTCCAGCACCTTGACGTTATCCTCGCAGATCTTGGCCATGGCGGACATGGCACCCTCCTGGGCCTCGTTGGAGACCTGGCCGTTCTCGTTGGTGATGAGGCTGAGAAGCTGGGGGAGCAGTTCGGGCCAGCTCAGAACGCCACCTCTTCTGACGATCTCGGTCGCAATGTTACCAGCAAAGTTGCGAATCTGCGAGTTCTTGTCCTGGATGCCCATGGGAACGGCCATCTTGACGAGGGTGAGGCTGCTCTCGGGGATCTGCTTGTAGCTAGAGCGCACATTGTTCTTCAGCATCATTGCGGCGGCGCACCGCACGGTGTGATAGTCCTGGGCGGAGCATTGTACGCCGGAGGGGGGGTCGGGGCTGGAGAAAAGATAGGCGAGGTAGTTGTTGATGTCGGGAGAGGACTTTGCCTGGGTGAGCATCTGGGCATCGTCAGTCAGCAACGTCGGCAGCGGACAGGCGTCGGGGCAATTGGCGGAAGGAAGCTCACCAGGTCTGCCTGCTTCTGCGCATTCTTGTCGAAGCCGCTGAGCGAGTCCTTGAGGCAAGCGGCCAGCTGGCTCAAGGACTCTGGGGCCGGCTGCCAGGCCATGACTGGCGCCTTTGGGAATGTGTAGAGTCAAAGGACTGGGGAAGGGTCGAAATCGGAGGTCGGTCCGGCTTGCGATGTTGTCGTGTCGGAAGTTGAGAGAGCAGGGCGGGATCGCAGCGAGAGGGGCAGTCGTTGAAGTTGTTCGTTCAAGACACAGGCCAGGCGTAGACACAGCACGGCGGGCACGCAGTACCGAGCGAGGGCAGTGGGCGTTGACATTGGGCGACGGGCTGGCGGATGGTGGGGTCGCCCTGTCAGCTTTTTTTTCGCGATAACTATGGTGCGGCGGAGTAGCGGGCAAGGGAATGGCCTTGTACCTACCAGGCAAGGTACCTAGGCGGGCAGCACCTACGGCGGAGGTAGCTGCAGCAGTGCGCCGCGTGCTATTGGGCCAGTCTGGGGGGAGAAAGGTACGGACAGGCCAGTGTTGCAGCGCTAGTGGTGCTGTAGTGATCTGACCTTTTTTGGTGGCCGCAGCATGGGAGTTGAGATACCTTACCGTAGGTACCTCGCAGAACAGCGGTGGATGCACGGATAGACAAGTACCGTGCCTTATGTAAGAAAGCCTCGCCTGCTACCGAAACTCACGTACCTTTACATTTCGGCGTCTGTTCTCGGCTGGGGTACATGGCGGCAAGTCCAACGTCGGCTCGATGAATGAGAAGGTCTGTGGCCAGGGAAAGAGCAGCAGGAAAGAAATCAATGCTAAATTTAGCCGTGCTTCTTGCCGCTCAGAGAGCCTGGAAGACGGAAGAGGACTGCAGCAGACAAAGTCTATTGTGGTGGTGGGTGGTGGTGGGTGGTGGTGCGCCGTGTAGGTACTGCGTAATTGCTAGCGGTAAGGTAGTGACTTTCGCCTCTGCCCCGCCCCAAACAAAAAGATTTGCCCGTAGCCTCCTCGTAGTCGGTACCTCGTTGCTGATTGCTACCGAGTACTGACATGTTGAATTCAGCGTTGTGTTCAGGGTGCAGCAGGTGGGATGCAGTGGGTGGCCCGGCTGGGGTTGGGGTTTTGGGCCGGGGTCCATGGGGATCCATGGAGGAGGCATGCCCACTGCCCATGAGCCGACTGATTGATTGACTGCTGCCCGCGCAGTGGCAGTGAAGAGTGGGAGGAGGAGGAGAAGCCATGCATGGCGACGGTGGACTGGAGCTGAGAGAGGAGACGGTTGGACAGGAACCAGGAAAAACCTGAGAAAAGGCGGAAATGGGAGGACACACTACCTCAAATTTGCCCACCAGTACCAGCACCAGTACCAGTGTCCGTTCCAGTACCAGTACCGATTCAACAATGTGCAAGCAAGTGCAGCCCCCGTGCCTCGACCTCGACGGCCACCTCCACGTCCCTCAGTCCGTCCATCCTTCCCACTCCCGCCGCGCGTGTGTCAGTCTGGCCAGTCCGCCCGTCCTTCCACTTTTGCTAGCGTTGATGCACTGCGCCAGTGTGAATGAGGTGTGGTCTGCTGAGGTGCGCTGCGTTGCCTCCCATGCCACATGCACACCCACCCGTCTGCTGCTGTTGCTGTTGCTGCCAACCACCAAAAATTTGAATACATTCAATGCCTGCCCCAAGCTCGCCATCCTGAAGACATGGCCCGTGCTTCCTACCCCTCGCTCCTCCTCTTTCTTCGTGGTTCAAACTTGGACGGTCAATATTTTTTATCGATAACGCCCAAAGGCAAAATGGGCAACCTTTTGTCGCCTGTGACCCCGACAAGCAGGAATGACCCCGCCAGGGTTCACCTCCCAACCTTAGGTTTTTATCTCAGACAGTGGACCTCCGCCTGCTCTTGCCGTTTCGCACTGGAATCCGAGCAGAAGCTTTCCAGACGCCCTTCCCTCCCTTCTGGAATCCCATTGTGCCCGTCTACCCATTGTTCGAATCCCGTCGAGACAGGACGACCGTGGAAACATGCCAACTGGAATGCTGCACACTTGTCCCCTGTCCTGCAACGGTACCGCCGCCCAGCCAGCCCAACCGGTTCTGTCCTGCATCTCGCATCTGGCCTTTGATGTTGCCAAAATGCAGTGGGACTCCACCGCGTTGCACAACCAGCGGCGCGCACAATGTGAACCAGTGGCAGGAGCAAGCTACACGCACCCACAGTGACATAGACCGCCATCAGACTGTCGTCAACGTTGCTTCTTCCGTCGCCTCCGGGCACATCACAGTCCACCGAGAGAGCCCGCGAGGGCACCACACAGCAAAACCTCCCCAAGGGGGCGAGGATCAAACCCATGGGTCCCATCGACCTGACGCCGCCAGGGGTCCCCGCCCCGTACTCTCGACAGGACAGATTTGCTGCGGGCGGATGCTTCTGGATCATGACCGAACAGACTGACTTCATGCTCTTCTCCCTCGCCCGAGTCATCAACCCCCAGAAGCAGCCCTCCGCCGGTGTCGAGAAGAAAGACCGGAAAACCTGTGCGGTCCTCGTAGAAGCAGTTCCCAGGTTCAAGGTATTACGTGCAGATCCTGTGACTTGTCAGAGCGTATTTTCCGCAAACATGAGCCGAACTTCTGCCACGAAACGGGACCAAACACGGCCATGTGGCCCGCAGAGAAGAACGGACGACCGCATTCCCTTTTGACATGGCCGCGTCCTAGCCTTATTTGCCTTTGAAGGCAAACACTTTCCAGAAGACGTCAAAACGTGGGCACGGGATGGCCATGACATTAAGCCGCAGTCCAAGCGACGGGTCCTGGGTATCTGTATATTCATCATGACTCTGGACACCAAAGTACCGTGACACTTGCGTGATCTCGATGTCCACAACGTTCAAATCGTAGGCATGCCATTACCTAGGCCTTCAGTGCCAGGACGATGGCCGTAATCCACGCCTGACGACGGCCCGAGGCCACATGTCTCGCCCGCCCCTCCACCGGTCCGCCGAGACAAACTCGCGAGCCCGGCACGCCGCATATCGCCCCCGCCAGCCCCCGTGTAACCGCCGCCGCTGGCCGCTTCGGGAAGGTGTAACCAGCATCTCATCTGCTTTGGGGGGAGGCCTTCTCAAATGCAGCGCTTGCAATCAGAGACAGTAGACCTCCCTTGATGCGTGCATCCGCAGGCACACACACGTCAGGCCACCCCGTTGACGGGTGCCTGACCCTTAAGCCTCGCCATGACGACGTCGACGACGGCGCGGAACGCTTCCATCTCTTCCTCGACGGAAAGGGCCATGGCCGTTCCGCCCAGGTTCACGGAGCAGCCGACGTAGACGGGCATGTCGGCCCGCTTGGCGAGCAGCTTAGCCATTCGGGTTGCGAACTCGACGGTCGACTCTACCGAGTAAATGGCTGTTGACAGAGGCTGGGCGGGATCGAGTCTCTGCGGGCGGTCAGTAAGTGACCAGGAGATTGAGTGGAAGACGTACGTTGGGCAGGGCGTAGACGAAGGACCCCAGAGCCGCAGTCGATGAGGGCTCGTCCTGGGTCGTCGATGTGAGGAACAGGGTGGCCGTTTTAGCCTTGACGGTGAGGTGGATATGGATGCGGGTATCCAGGGACCGCGGAAGGGGTATGGAGAGCTGAGTGACGCTGCTTGCTGCCATTTTTGATGTGTTATTGTGGTTTCGAGGTGACGCCGTTTGTTGAGTGAACGAGTGAGGTCGGTGATGTAAACGCTGATGAATGTGAGTGGACGGCGCAGTGTGAAGGTCTGACATTGCACTGTATCCCGACTGTGATCAACACCACTGCCGACATCGAAGAACAAGTCAGCAACTAGCTTTTCAACAGAACCACTGAATAAAGTAGACAGATACAAGTTCAATCTCAAAAGCGAACCAAAAGACTTGAAACCTGCGAGATTCGAAATGGTACAATTCTCCAATGTGGTGTTACTGCAAGGAGAAACCGCTAGCCTCTCTGTACGTGACGATATAATCAACTCTGCTTCACCGTTCCAGCACATACGACCATACCCACTGGAGAACTCGGGATCCCGTCCGCTCTCCCATAGATAAGCCAGTGAGGGCTGGAGTAGTAGTCGGGTCGGTGACGACCGGCGAATGCCCGGTGCTGTATGTTTTGTGCCCTTCTGTTTTGCCCCTGGGCCTGCTATCATCGTCTTGATTCACCGTTTTGTCATGCCAACTGATCACGGTATTGAACCTCTTGGACGTTTGCACCTCATCTATCATTTTGGTTGTACAGGTCTTTGCTTTTATACAATGCCATTGTGCTTGGCCCACAGCGTCTCGAGCTCCCCACTTCACTGGGGCCTTGTAGCGTCCTCCTCGGATTGCTGTTCAGTCGTCTCAGCCTCTTCAGACTCTGTTTGTTCAACCTCCTCCACCACCTCCTCAACAGAAGACTTCTTTGTTATCCTGCTAAACACAGCCAAGAAGCCACCTCCGACAACGAGGGTGCCGACCTTGGGTCTGCAGACATACCCCCTCGACACGGGCCCCGTCTCCCCGGCCCGCTCGAATTTGCGGATGCCGACGGCCTTGACCTCCCAGTTCCTTCCGCCGAGGGCATCCTTGAACCCGGAATCGCTGTTGGACGTGGACGTGTGCAGCTCGACGACGCGGTCCAGGACCAGCGGCTGGCCCGTATCCTTGGCCCACATCTCGAATTCGAGGATCTGCGTGATGGAGGGGTAAAACACGACCATCTTCCCCCCGGGCTGCAGCGCCTGCACCGCGACGTCCGCGTGCTCCTGCGACGCCGGCAGGTCCAGGATGACGTGCGCGAGGAACGGCTCCCCCCCCTTCTCGGCGAGGCGGGACGAGAGGTACGACCGGATCGTGCTGACGTGGAAGTCAACGTCGGAGAGGTACAGGCCGCGCCGGAAGTACCTGACGAGCTTGTGGGCCATGCGGCTCGACGTCGGATTGATATCCAGGGTGTGGAGAATCGCGCGGCGGCTGGCGGCGTGCTTCGCGTGCATCTCGGCGAGTTCCGGGTCAGCGATCTGCAGCGCGTGCGCCGAGTGCGCATATTCCGGCGCATCGTCGTCCGCCGCAGGCTTCCGCGGGAGCGTGTTCCTCTCGTACTCCGCCGTGCACAGCGCCTCGCGCAGCTTCAGCGGCACAGGCGGGTTCGCGCCGTGGATCGCCCGCGCGAGGTGCAGCGTCAGCGCGCCCATGCCGGTGCCGGCCTCGAAGATCTCGACCGGCGGGCCGTCGTCAAAGTCCGGGTCCTCGCCGGGGGACGGCAGGTTGAGGTCGAGGATGGAGACGATCATGCTGGCGTCTTGGGGGTAGATCTAACCCTGCACCCGTCAGTCTGCGATTCCCGGTGCTATGCGATCAGGGGCCGTTCTCGTACCGGCGTCGCGACCCGTGGGGAGTTTGAGACGTATTGCGCCAGGGTGACTTGTTGCAGCCTCACATCGCGGCCGGTGGTGTCCTTGACGGCGTCGGTGAAGGTCTTGCCGATGACGTCTGAGCCGTCGAGTCTTGCGCCGTAGCTGAGTTTGATCTTGCCGTCCCTGCGCAGGGGAGGGGAGAGGTGGAATTTGGCTTCGCGGTCGCCGCGCTGGCGGAGGACGATTACATCGTGTTCTGGTGGGTGTTAGGAAGTAAACAGTGTGGTGGAAGATGGTTCCATACCTTGGATGACCCGTCCCGAGCTGGCGCACCGGCACAATGGTCGACTGAGGTGTCTTGGAAGACTCAATGGCCAGAGTCTGGGTGGCATTGTGGAAATTCGGTTTGGGAATGTCGAAAACGAGGTCGCGGAAATCTTGCGCGACTGAAGTGGGATGTACTCGTTTAGAAGCATAAGACTCTACAACTGCATTTCATAGCGTATCTCAAGCAATAACTCCATACACGGAACAACTCGAATCTCGCATACTCTGTCCCTGACCTCATATCCTCAATCTCATGTCCGTGACTTCACATCTCCCATGTATCCGACTCAGGCGGGGTATTGATACGGCGCTTTCTCGCACTCACTTGGGCATCGTACCAGAAGTTCTTGCCGTACAATGTGCATCCGAAACAACCAGCCATGTCACCTCGGCACTTCTTTCTGCCCCAACGACAACACGGCTTACCAAGTTCAACTCGTAGTCGACGGTTCACTGTGCGGTGCTGCTTTGCCACCTCTTGGGCCTTGTGATCTGCGATTACCTGCAGAGAATCCCACAGATTCTCTTTCCGTTGCGCTTTTCCTTCGGCGCGTTTGAAAACCTGGCCTTCTTGCTTTTCCAACAACCGTTGCTTTCGCTCATTCCACAGAATGATGTCTTCCGGCTCGGCGTCGCAGTGTGCTTCAAGACAATCCAGTGGGTCAAGAAGCAAGTTGACGGAGTCGATGATGCTCTTCTCTGAAGGTTTTTGCTTCAGCAGACCAGCGTCGTCTTGGAAACAGCTAGATGCGACGGAAACAGCAAACTTCATTGCTGGCTTTGCCTGGTCCTCCTGGATAGCTTCTTCCCAAATCGATGTGTCGTACATTATGGCATGGCCTGCTTTGTTGGCGGAAAAGACCTGCACGACACCCCAACGTCCAAGGTCAAAGGCTAGATGCAGGGCGTTGGTGTAGGTACGGAGATACTCGTTGCCACTGGCGTAAATCCAGGTACACTGAAGGAAGCATGCCTGCCTAGGATTGACTCCATTGCTGAGTAGCCAGCGAACAGTCTCTGATTGTCCAAAGAAGGCCGCCTCGTGGAGAGCTCCATATTCCTGAAAATAAACGATTCTCTTCGCGTCTTGCCGAGGGTCCACAACAATACGCTTGAAGGCGTCGATGCGTTTATCGATCTCCATGATCTCCAGGCGTTTCTCCTGGATCTCTTCGTCTGCTTCATCTTTCCACCCCGGCGGTTCATCTGGGCGAGGGAAGCGAGGCCCCGGATGTCTCGGACATCTTTCAAGATGATGAAGAGCAGCTCGTTGGGGAGGGTTTCTAGTTTTGCCATCGTACTCGGCGACGTTTGTGTCTTTGTCTCAGTCTATTTGGTTCTTCTCTTGCGTTGGGGAAAAGATCTTGCTGCGGCGTGAGTAATATTTTTGTGGAAGCGTAGTGGCAGAGGTGAAGAGGAGAGCGACGTGAAGGTGAAAAAAGCTGAGGTGAGGAAAGTTGGAGATCGCACGAGCGAGAAGGAAGGAACGAAAGGCGGTTCCAAAAATTGCAATTTCGGATTTGCGTTTTGAGCGTTTCCAGCAACGTTGGAAGGATCAGAAGGTGAAATGTCGCGAAAAGGAAGGGGCGAGGACACGATTGAGGTGAGATGGGAAGGTGTCAAGCTGCCAAAATGCTTGATCGACGCACCTGCCTCGCGGTCGAGATGGCAGGTCGTTGTAGAAATGGCAGGAAGTCGCTTCCAAATAATCTCTTTTGCCCCAACTTCACCAAATCATCAACATTTCCACGAGACAAAGCCAGGACTTCAACCAATATCCTTCCACCATTGCAATCAGGTGCCAGAGTTTTTGACAAAAGTATTACGCGCATAGTTAAGTCAGTGATACTGTATGCGCAGACAACCGCAGGCAAAGCTCCCTTCCGTCACTGACAACGGCTAGGCAGGATGGCAACTTTCAACAACCTCCCTTCGGAGGTCCGTCTGATCATCGCCGGTTATCTGATGAACTCAGCACACCTCTCACGTTTTGGAAGAGTGTCACGCAATCTATACGGCCTCGTTAAACCACTTCTATATCGCAGAGAAATCCGGAAACCCTGCAGAGAGAACCGGATTCTGACTTGGGCGGCTAAAAAGGGACATCTTGACATCCTGCAGCTATTGGTATATTACGGCCAGGACGTTGGAGCGATTAAATATACGGGTTGGGACTGGTACGTATTTCCACCCAGGGAGTGTCTGCCTCTGGAGATGCGAGGGAAAGGAGAGAAGAAGGTGCTGCTCAGTAGGGGCCAGAGGCATGGAGCCATTCACAACGCAGCCATGCATGGCCACACCGAGGTCGTCAAATGGCTTATACAGCAAGGCGTGTCGATCTTCGAAGACTCTCTCAACATTTGTGGCTGCCCTTCGGGAATCACTTGGCAGGAAGATATGCCGTGGCCAATGAACGGGCCCCGAACAGCTTGCCTTCTGGCAATTCTACACCAGCATTACACCACAGCTCATGTCTTGATGGAAGCGGGAGCCGGCGTCCATGGAAACCAGTGGATGCCAAATGGAATAACCATCTGGCAGGAAGCCGTCTAGGAGGACGACGACAGATCGATTCTCAGATACGCCTCTCACATCGCTTCGACTCTCGTGTCTGGGGTGTTACGAAACGACGAGATTGAAAGTGAGGAGTCCGCAACACAAAACAACGTTGATGCCGTGGAACTGTTGTTGCATCCAGCAGAGGCCTTGGAGGCATATGCTTTGGATGGATTCGGCAAGATTGCGAAGGCTGTGTTCCCTAGGGACGCAAATTAGGAATGCAACTCAGAGATTGACAGATTATGCCGGGTATGGGGACGGAAGAGATGCAGGGGCTTGGGTTGCCTCGCTTGCTCCATTTTCGAGACACGCTATCAGGCGAGAAAGGCCCGGGAGAAGAAGATTATTCGCCATCTTATAGGCAGGACACTGAGTTGACCCTTTGTGACAAACTTGGCGGCTCCAGTTTCGTTGTAGTTCAGTACTTGACATAGCTAATCGTTTCGCATTCACTGAGCCGTGGTCTTGTTATGCCGAGGAGTGACTATGCCCGCCAACTGGGTAATTTGTTTGGAGTCGTTTTGCGTGGCCTGCGCCGTAACTTGGGAATAGTGGCATCTGATGTAATTTGCGTCCGCCCCTGTTTGGAAAACAACGTCCAGTATTGATGCAGATTACCAGCTCAACTGCCAGATCCTGGGGTTACGCGGCCACGACAGCTCTGGGATCTTCTAAAACGAAAGTTGTCGAGCTGAAGGACATACAGTTTTGTTATCTATATGCACCAGGCATTACGCTTGAATCACTGCAGGATCAAAGGATCTACCTCAGAGGAAGGCGTGTTTTTCCTCCGTTCAAGTCACTACGTTTCTTATGTACTGATATTGTATACTGAAAGTTCTTTTCCGCCAAAATGAGATGACGGTGATAGAGACGAACGAGAGAGACAGAAGCAAAGCCCGAAGGGAGTACGCTCTCCATGGCGCGGAAAAAGTGTGGTCCCTATCCCAAATGGAAGGCAATAGCATCTCGCCCCTTCCTAACACGAGCAAAGGTCTACCCAAATCTTCAGAGAACGGCTCGTTAGGGGTCTCTCCATCCAATTGCGAGCGGGTACTATCTTATGTAGGCTTAGGTAGGCAGACATCTTCCCGCCACGTCCTAGGGCCGCATGACCTTCGACTCCTTCCCCACCATGTACTGAGCATCGTTCATCTCGTCACAACCCCATGCTTCCAAGTCCCCCCTAAACGCCCCGAGAAGCCCGGCACTGACCCATCGGGTTCATGAAGACCACATGAAAACACCCAACGAATAACTCCACCCACCGCATTTGCGACAATGCCGCGCAAGACCCAACCTAAGCCCGCCCTGGGTGGCATTTCCCTCTTCGGGCAAGGGGCTCTTCGCGACCTCTCCGCCGCCGACGTGCGCAACGCGACTGCCATCATCAACGCGGTCCTTCGTGGAGATGTCGACAGTGGTAGCCAAAAGGGCCTGAAGCCGCAGAAGGCACCTGTCAGTTTCCCCTGAATTTCCCTTTTTTATTTCTTTCTTCGTTCATCCTCCGAATGCTCACCTAGTCGCCAGGGCACTGGAACTTCCCGGTTCGCTGAGGCCAGACGGGCCAAGACCGCTGCCAAAAAGGCGGATAAGGAGGCTGAGGAGCGGAAGGTGGCCACTGCCAAGAAGGAAGAGGAGAATCCAAATGCGAAAGAGATCGAGAAGGAGGAAGTCTTCGCCAAGGACGAGACGAGTGAGGAGGAGGCTGTGGTCGAGGGCAAGGTGAAGCAGGTGGAAAGCAACGATGCCATCACCCACGTCCCGACGAGACAAATGTCAGACGTCGAGTTCGAGAACTTGTTAGTAAGGCTGCAATTGTACTAGAGACGGGCTGTCAAACATATGTTCTGGAGGAAGCTCTCAAGAATCGGAGGAAAGCCTGGGCGGGGCATCACAGCATACATTCCAACTGAAAGACTAAATGAGACGAATCGTTGAAGAATAATATCGATTTCGCTACCAAAGATTGGGTGGGGGTATCTCATGCCATGCAACGCTAAAGGACAGTCCAGACATCATCCAACGCATTTTTTCTGTCATCATCGATCATGTCGTGCTTCATCATCGTCTTTTCTTTCCACCCATGGCCTTCTTTCCAAAGCCGTCCTGCGCGCTTTTTTTCTTCGGTTTGTCTCCCCATTTGAATAGAATCGAACAATGTCCCAGACAAGACGAAGAAAAGAGCGAACGGCCCTGCCAATCCAGATTATGTTTCCCTAATTCCGTGTTTTCCAAAGTAGAATGAGTCGTGGTGTCCCGGTCAGTCCAGCGCTGCTTTCCCTTCCATTGCGTTTCCAAAATATGTCCTATCGCAGATAAGGTAAAAGAATGAAATACATTAAATAGACAAATATCGTGTTGCCTTGATCGCTTTTGGGGGTGTTGTGATAGGAGGGGTGTGATGCCTCGGCGCAGCCAGGCCGGCGGGTACAGGAGGGTTCCGTGACCCTATACTATGAATTACAACTGTCGCCAGTGGTGTGTTGTAAGAGATAGGAGATGGATAGTATGGGATACAACCGCGACCGACAACCCAGTCAAGGGGTCGGGCGGGCCACGCAAACGCCGTCCTGTGTCTACCGGCTGCTTTGCTCTTGTGTGATGATATAGAAAATTCAACACCAAACTGGTGTTGCAGATGGGCTTGCGCCCTCTTGAATCTTTGATGCGAGATCTTCCTCTTGTTCCGGAACCTGATAATGATGCCTTTTGGATAAGAAATCAGGGGTATGTAGGATAGGAAACGAGGGTTATGAAACGCTAAAATAAAACAAAGAAGTCCCGTTAGATGCTCGCGGTGCGAGCCCTCTCCGGGACTCGTGCGTAGCAGACCATGAGCTTGAAGCTGGTCCGCCACTCTTCGCACTCCGCAAGCAGGGCACGATCGCCCCAGATGCTGCGGCTGACGGCGGTCCCCGCGGCGCTCTCGTAGCAGCGGCTGTACCACCAACGCCCGACCTTGGCGACCATCTTGGTGATGTTCTCGTCCGCCGAGTCGCCGTCGTCGTTCATCATCTCGGCCAGGCTGCGGATTTCCTTGGCCTTGCGGGTTACCGGGGGCTTACTGCTGCCTTCGGTCCGAGGCACGACGCTTGCCACGGGCACGCCGACGCGGCAGGTCTTGACGTCGGTGAAGCCCTTGCGGCCGAGGAGGCGGAGGATCAGGTCCGAGCTGGAGCTGATGTTGATCTCGGGGTTGCGCTCGTGGATGCGCTCCTTGATCCGGCGGATGGTGCGGCGTCCGCGGTTGCCCATGTTGTTGAGGTCGACGTCGAGGATCGAGAGCTCAATGTAGCCACCCGGCTTGAGAACGCGGCGGGCCTCGGAGATGATGTTGCGGTAGTGGGACTCCGGTGCGGCGGTGGGGAAGCGGAAGACGACCGAGGTGAAGGACTCAGGGCCGAAGGGGAACTTGGCGGTGTGAGAGAGGTACTGGATCTGGTGGTGGTTGGGCGGGCTCAGGGGGAAGCTGGAGGAGTTTTTGTGTTCGTCGGGGAGAGGCGCCCGCGGAGAGAGGTTGAAAAAGGTTGCGGCTGGGTACGTCTCTGCTGCGTAAAACGACCAGTCGTCGTTGCCGAGACCGTCAACGACGAGAATGGAGTGGCGCTTGAGGGAGCCGACGACGGGGACTAGCTGGTCACGCGCTGGGGAGAAGAGGACGTGCCCAAAGGAGAGCCACTTGGAGACCGTCATGGAGCCGACGCGGAGGTTTACCTGGGAGAGAGGAGACTCGTCCTCCGAGGACTTGCAGCTGGACATGGACTGGCGGGATCTGCGGGAAGAGTTGCTGCTTCGCTGGGAAGTGATGGTAGCTTTGCGGGCCAACTCGGTGCTCTCGCGGTCGATCGCGCTGGCGGGGACGTCGGCAATGGGGATCAGGGTCAGGGAGTTGGAGCTGGCTTCGGGCTTGAGAGCAAAGGCAGCTTTCAAGCGCTCAGTCATGTCGGCGCTGTAGACGCTCGACGAGGTTGCGGTGGTGTTTTCGACGGGTTTCTCGGCAGCCTTGGGAGGAACAATGGTGGGTGATTCCAGGGGTTTGAGGGATCGCTTGGAGAGTCTGCCATCGTGGCCCTCCAGATGAAAGGGAATGCCCTTGGAAGAGGTTGCCGAAGGGGGGACTTCGCCGATGAGGTCGTTGTACTCGTCCCAGATCTCATCTTCCACGAGGGGTGCATTGGGGTCCGGAACGTAAGCAAGGGCATCAGCCATGGTGTACATCCCGCCGCTGGAAGAAGTGCTAGTGGTGCACTCAGAGTTCTTTCGGGGAGAGAAGGCGAGGAACTCGCGGCCGATCTGGACCATCTCAGGCGTCTTGAGGGGAACAATGGACGAACGGGGATCTGAGTTGGTTTCGACGCTGGTTGCGGTGGTGGCAGCCGACTCGCCGCGAGAGAGCTCCGGGGTAGACAGCTCCGGGGTCGGGCCAGAGGCGACAAAGTCGGGGTTGAAGGCTGCATCGTCCGGGGGCATGCTCATGCTGATCCTGTTGAATGGGCGCGAGAAGCTCCTCGACGACGCGTGCTCGGGTCGAGAGGTGACTACCTTTGGGATGCGCCCGACTTGAGGCAAACGACTGGGGCGTTCGGCTGGCTTGGCGGCACTGGACTGCGAAGCCTGCGTCTTCATGGAGCGGATGGCAGGGATGGACGTGGAAGTCGGCTTAGCGGAGGCAGAGTTCCTGCGCGCCTGTGATGACTTTGTCGGCTGGGTGAGCCTCGACAGCGACTCTCTCCTTTGGTCCTGGCTTGTGGTGGATGCCCGTCGCTCCTTGACTGTCTCCGTAATCGGCGGTGGCGATGGCAGGTCAAAGACGGCTGCCTCGCGGAGAATCTCCTCAACGTCTGGCGGTCCAGAGTCTTCTTGCTCGGAGCCGTCCATCATCGTGTAAAAGGCGGCCGGCTTGTGCTGGACCACCTTGACGGTGGCAGCAACGGGAACGGGCTCGGGCTCCTTCTTGTTGGGCTGGCTCCGAGATCTGCTAAAGAGCTTCCACTTGCTTGGAGAGCGAGCTCGCTTGGTCAGCTTCTTAGGCGGCGTCGCGGTGGCTGCGGCAATGCGACCGCGGATGACTTCTCTGTGCTTCTCAAACTGGGAGTCGTCAGACAAGATGGTGGTGTCGTAGCTGTCCATTGACGGCGCCGATATGCCGGTGGTGTTGATGGGCTGCGGCAGCTTGAGAGGGCTTTGATCGGGAGACGTCCTCAGCCGTTGAACGGACCTCCTGAAAGCCAGGGTGGACTTCATGGTGACGGCCTCAGAGTCGCTGCTGTCGGAAGGACGGCGATGACTGAGGGAAGGGTGAGGACCGCGAGGAATGGCGGAGGGGGCGAGCCCAAACCGGCCAGTGCTGGAGGTGGTTGACGTCTCCGAGGCGTACCCGAGGCTCTGGTTGCTCTCCGAACGATGCAGGTCGACACTGTTGTTCCTATTCTCAACGACACTGCCGCCAGAGATGATGACGGGGTTCATGCGCTCCAGAAGGAAGGTGTCGGTTGGCTGGTTGCTGCTGAGACTGTCCTGGGACGAGGCAGGGCCCATGCTGTTGCGGGCCCCGTTGGCGGATGAGCTGCCGCTTCGTCGCCGAATCGCACCTAGCCGTCCGTATCCCTCGTGCCCCGTGCCAGCGGCAGGCCCCTTGCGTGCCGGCTTCTCCTTCTTGTCGACCTGAGTGACCTCGGGTGCCGTCTTGCGACGACCAAAGAAGGGGAAGCGACTGAACGCCGACGTTCCAGGGCTGGGAGTGCGAGTCGGGCGCTCCTTCTTCTTGTCAGATGTCGCTGGTCGAGGAGCCGGCGTGGCCTCTCTGCTCGCGGGCAGGCGGGATTGCGGAGGCTTCTCTGAATACAGAGGCGTGACAGACCGCGAGAGGACCTGCGGCTCCGGGCGCCTGTCGTTGACCAGGGACGCAGACGAGAGGTTGCTGTGGATGATGGGCAGCGGCCCAAACAACTGCGACTGCAGGTCAGGGGTGTTCTCTCTGCTGGGCCGGGTTGGCGGTGTCTGACGGGGCGAAGCACTTGGCATCAGACGCGGAGGAGATTGCACCGGTGACGGCGGGGTCATGATGGGCATGGCCGGCTCTCTGGCCGCCTTGGACGGGGACTCGTCATTGCCGGGACTCTGGGTGAACTTCTGCGACGACTTGCGGGGCGGCGGGCTCGGGGGCAGGGGCGACAGCCTCTTCTTCTTTACGGACGATTTCCGCTCGACCTCCCTCACGGTGGAGTTTGACGACGAGGATGTAAGAGACTCGCGGACGGCGGCGAGACCTTGGGGGTCGGCGCTAAACGCATCCATCTCATTCGCGCTTCCAGCTCTTCTCCGGGTCACTGGCGGCCGGGTTACGGCCGGGCTCAACTGTCTCGTCCGGGGGGCAGGGATTCGCATCGGGATCACCAGGCCAGGTGACTGTGACGACATTGACGTGGGAGTCGTGTCTCGACTGTACGGTCCTGGACCGGGCGACTCGGAGAATCTCGTCGAGGGGCTGCCGCTGAAGGCGCTCAACTGGCTGCTTGTTCCGGAGAACACGGGCGTTGGAGGCGGCAGGTCGTGAGTAGCCAACCTGTGGAGGAAGTCGACGCTGGAGCCCTCGGAGGAGGTTGATGGCCGTCCGGTGTAGGTATAGTCTCTGTATCGATCTAATTCGGGGTAGATGGTGACGGACTGCGCCTGGGTCTTGGGCAAGTCCACAACATGGGCGATCCGGATCTCTGTCGGGCTCTCGGTGATGCCCCGGTCGAGCTGCATTCCCGGGTCGAGCGAGGACCGTGATCGAGGAGCAGACGATGAGGAGCTCGTTCGCGTGGAGTCGGTCGACCCATGGCTAAGACTTGGAGTTTTTTGGGCGACCGAGGATTTCTTCCTTCGCAGAACGTTGCGAGGTTTGGGGCCGGTCTGGGAGCGTCCCGAAGAGGACGAGCCTGACATTGTCGGAACGTGGCTCGGTCTTTCCGAAATTGTGCTGTTGGAGCTCCATGATTGTGTTTGGTGAGTTAGCGGAGGTCGGTTGGAGGGTACCGGGAGAGCTGGACGCCTCGACGAAGGCTGGAGCTCCCGCGCCGGTTTGCTCTGGGGCTGGGTGGGTTGTTGGATCGGGATTCGGATGCTCTCTCCTTCTCTGCGCACTCGTCGTTCTTCCCTGGGTTCCATGTACGCTCTTCTCGCTCGTATCTGTTCATCTGGACGACTCGGCAAGCCCGAACCCGTGCGGAGGGTTGCCATATTGTCCTGGAGAGATTTCTGGGCCTTTCCACCATTACCAACTCTTCTCAAATATCATGTTGAGTCACGATGGATACGTGAGGCCTGCCGAGGAGTTAGCGGCGGACGGCAAACAGTGGCTACGAGAATAACCTGGCAGTGACGACCCGACGTCCTCAATTAGGTGCTGACCACGCTGGGCGCAACGGGTCAGGCGCAAGATCACAGGAAACAGAAGAGTAAATCCCTCGACCTCGACTGACTAACAGCAAAGGAATAAAAGGGTTTCCAGCAGTCCCAAGTAGGCAGTTTGGGGGCTGGGATGTGACGCCGAGCACAGCCAAGGGGAGCGAAATGGGGATATAAGAAGAGATGGATCAGACAGGCACAGTCGACGAGAAAAGATGAACGTCCTGGAACGAGCAGAAAGGAAAAGGAAGTGAAAAAATTATCAACAGGGAATGCTGGGCGCGGAAGAGGGGGAAGGGATCCGGAGCTGAGATGGTGGTGGTGAGGTGTGATGGTGGGGTGGTGGGAGGTTGCGCGGCTGTCGAGGGGAAGCCGATTCGGCTGGGAGGGTCGTGGTGGTGGTGGAGGGGTTCGGAGGGGTCCTCGAGATGGTGGGCAGAAGCCGCGTCTAGACACCAGCGCTGGCGCCGTCGGTGGGATGCTGTGTGGTATGAGCCAGCCTCTGTGTTGTGACGGCAAGCTGATGGGGATGTTTGGGAATGCGACTGGTTAAGCGTCTGGGGAAGAAGAGGCCGTTGGGTTTAGCCTTGAAGACGGGGATGGAGTCCAGATAAGTTGCTGCGGAGGGGCAGACGGCAAGCTCTGGTGGCAAAAGAAAGAGGGCAGGGTATCTAGTAGGTATCGTGTGGCAGATATTTGCTGGCGGTACAGACAGAGTAGAGAGAAAAAAGAAAGCTACAGTTGCAACGGCCAGGTCGGGACAGAGAAAGGCAAGATTGGATTGTATATAGGTGAAGCAAGGCATCTCGGTCTCTCTTCCATTTTGGCTGGAGCCGGCCTGCTGGAAAGCAGCCGGCGTGGATGGACGGAGGACGTCGGCGAGGGCAAGGTACCTTACCTAGGTAGGGAACCTTAGCCAGCAGGGGTATGACTAGCAGAAGAGGACGGTAGGCCGTACGTAACGGAGTACTCGGGACCTGCAATGTTATTCTGTGTCTGAGAGGTGTATCTGGCCCGCATCTGCATCTAAGGTATCTAAGGTACAGATGGACTCGATTGCTGCTATTCTTTGCGCGTGGCGTCTGAACCCTTGCACCCGGGCTTTAGCCTCTAGCGTGCAGCGGTCAAGAAATGGGAATCATGGGCCCAGGTCAGGTGAGGAGCTGCTGGAAACGCCGAGGGCGGCGCTCTGGGATTGGGCAGGCGAGGCAGGGAACGCGCGCAGGAGGGAGCAGATCAGACAGCGGTATGCGCCAGTCACGATGTTGAGTCATCTTTGGGCCGTTTGGGGGAGAGAAGCGAGGGTCTGGAAAGGGGAGTACTACCACTGTGTACGGAGCAGTAGAGGACTAGACAGGGAGCAGATGCGAACTGTCGCCGTGGACCTACATAGTAATGGGCCATTGACGGGTCTTTCTGCAGATGCACAGGAGAAGCAAAACACAGGCAGACAGGGCATGGAGGGCATGGAGGGCAGCGAGGGGAGACGAGGTGGGGAGGAGGAAGAGACGCTGAAAGAGGCACCGACAACCAAGGGCTGGCTGGCGGCAATCTCTGCAGACTGCGAGGCGTGCAACTGCTGGGCTGTGCCGCCATGCGGCAAGAGACTCGCCCTGTACTCTGCATACACGGCTCGTCCTATGGGAGTCGCGAGAAGGCTTGAGAAGGCAACTGGACGACACCATTGGGCCGCAACCCCCTGCCATGCCCTTGCCCGGATTGGGGGTTGTCTGCATCGTCTGGGATGCTGCGATGCTGCGAGTCTGGGGGTGAGGGCAGGGGAAGGGGGTTGTGGGCACGTCGAATTCGATGTTTTGCTTTTGCAGAATTGAGAGAGAGAACCGCGGGACGAGACAACTACCATGGACAGAAGAATGGCATCATAGCCCGGCCAGTGTCGGTGACGATGTCGGTGACGGTGGTGGTGGTGCTGGCGACCCGTAGAGATGGCTGTGCTTACCGCCAGTCGGTCGACGCTACAGAGAGACCGACAAAAAATACCCGCGCAGCCCTTCACCGACGGCGAGGGCGGTAGTTTCTTTTGGGTTGGCAACTCGGCACGGGACTCGAATTGACTCTGTGGAAACTGGATGGCGGGGGCAAAACGGGCCAAAGTGTCCAAGCTGGCGGCTGGGAGTGACCCTGGAGCGCAAAGGGGATGGCCCGCCCCGCTAGGTGTGGACGAGTGAGAAAGATGAGAGGAAAAGACAAACAGAAAAGGTTCTCGTCGTCCGTCGTCTCGTGAGTGAGAAGGCAAAAGTAATAGGCGTGGTGTAATAAGGATGGAGCAGGCAGGGATGGGGCTGGACGCGGTTGTCGAATAGACGGTGATATGTTGGCTGAGCGTTTGTTAATGGGAAACGACATCGGATGGGGCATGGACGGAAATGGCCATCAATGGCAGCATTGGCAGGCATCGAGGACGACGCCGTCGAACTGAAAAGACGCAGTTGCAGCTGCTGGAGACTGGGAACCGGAAACTGGAGAACGAAAGCGAAAGGACGGAAAGCAGCGACGGACCACAGGTGCAGGTCACAGACTCAACTCACAGGCCGCTTGCTGGAGGGAGCGGGCAGGGCAGGGCAAGGCAGGGGGTCACCACAACCGCACAAGCCAGGTGCAGCTCTGCCCATTCCCAAAGCGGCACTAGCGCATCGGTACTTTGCCCATGTACCTGCGGGTCCAGACGGCTCAACTGGAACGTGCGCAACTGCCACTGCGAGTCCAACGGCTCTCTCTTTTTGTTTTTTGACTCTTTTTTGGACTTTGCACTTTGAACGCTCCAGCCCTGGCTGGCACTGCTGGGCCCATCGACAGCCTCTCAACACCTGGTCGTTTCTAATTCTACCTTATGGAAACCAATCCACTCTGGACAGCTCATGGGAGCCCTCACATACACGAACTAGAGTTGACTCCTCGTCAAACTCCTCGACGCTCGCCCTCCCTTCCCCTGCGTCATCCGTCGTCTCTCCGCAACCGCTGTCAGTCGACCGTCAACAGCGACAGCAACGCCCGTGAACCGCCTGCTACCGAGCAAAAGCAAAGACGACGGGAGCCTTTGATTCACCAACCCCCGCGACTGTCGTCAACATGTCATCTATCAATGATCCACCGCATGTCTCACTCTACGCTGCCCGAGAGGCCATGTTTCTGCATGTCTTACTCTTGTCCCACCCTCTCTGTTGATCGCCCACGCTACCGATACGCTTTCACGCTTGCCCCACCCCTCTTCCTGCTGCCCGGCGCTTGTTTGGCGACCTCCTTTCGGTCATGTATCCCAGATGGAGTCCAACCTCACTCTTCAGAGATGGTGGTGGGCACGGCTTCAAGGGCAGTCGACACGGACCACACTCACCCCACTCGAGATATCATATTCTGATATTATCTCGACAATGTTTGTGCGGAAGTGTATAGACCGGCCGCCGCGGCATCAACTTGATTTGCTCTGAATCCTCGGGCCTACTCCTGCGGGAAACCAACAAGGGAACATCGCCTGGGCGCTCGCTCCTCGACGTTGCTCCATCCAGAGACTCGCAGGAGGATCGACAGAGGACCCCGCGATGGACGCGCAGGAAGCACCTACTTACCCAGTAAACAGTATCTCGACTGCACCGCAAGCCTCTTGGACGCGCCATTCCAACTACACTACCAGGAAGCGCCACCAACGAGCAAACGCGGTTGTCGTCGTCAACGTCGAATTAGAACTTTGGTGATGACGACCCAGGCCCGTCTAGTCTGCTCGCTTGCACACCCTCTCGAGTCTCAGCCTTCATCTAAATCCTAAAAATCCGGGCACGGGAAGACTATGGATTCGAGCCTTTCTCGAGGGTCCAACCAACGACTTTATTCTCCGGCTAGGCAGGCAACGATACGCTCCCATGGCTTCGTCGTTTAACTCGCTTACCACCACGAGATTATCGTCGGATGAGTCTGGGTCGCGCCAGCAACCAACCCGCGAGCCTGCTGCTTCGAGACCGTGTGGCCGCGGGGTCGTCTTCCAACTGCAGAAAGAAGCCATTTCGAAGACTTCCATTCGCACGCAGTGCTACGCCACGGCTAATCTCCCAGGCCCTGTCTTGGTCAGAAACAGGAGTTTGGAGATTGTCTCAACCCCAATTCAGATCCGCTCATCGTCGACTATTGCTTCCATCTCACGTAACGCACCCAACCACGGCCGACTTTACGGTTACCCGTCTGGCCTGCTTGGGGTCGAAACAGTCCCGTCGCCGTCATTGGCCGGGCCGAAATGGATCTTCTGGGCGGCAGGGGGTTCGGTCCCTTTCTGCATTTACGATTGGCCCGCTCGTCTTCAATTATGTCCAATCATCTGAGCTGCCCGAGACATTTTCCCACCATCCATCTCGCGTCCCTGAGCATCCATTTCCCCTCATGCATGTCTCTCCTTACCCGCAGCTTTTGGAAACCGCTCTTCACCAATCGACCGCGTGGGCTTGACGACGAGACTGCTCGATAAGGACCGCCGGGATGGAAAGGAGCTGATTCTGGCGTCATGGACATTAGTCAGAGATGACCGTCTC